AACCCTATATAGGGTTTCCAGGGAGCGGCTGTGAATTAGAACCACCCATCTTGGAGTTCAAATTGACCTTGCTGTCCAGTGCATTATCCCACAGTGCCACACCAGGATTTCTAGAATTGAAATGTTTGTTGTTGTTGTTAAGTACTGTTGAGTAGGGTCTGAGTTATAATGACCCTGTATAGGTTTTCTGAGAAAGACTCCCGTGCTTATCCTTTAGCACCACACCAGGTCTCATATGCATAGAGAAAGTGAGAGAAAGACAGAGAGGTAGAATGAAATTTCTACATCTTGCATTAATTATTCCTTATTCCTATAGAAAATTCCTCATATGTATTTTTCAAATACCATTAAGATATCCTTTCATTTGCATTTTCTCACATCAAAATTTTGTTTATCATTTTTAATAAATATTTCCAGTTATATGTAGGCAAATTTTCCCATTTTTTTCTTTATGGTTTCATGAATAGGATCACTAGATTTGTTATGATTCTCCAGGATCTCTGAAATATGACTATTCTGTCATCTTTGTCATTCATTTTTATCTTTTCTACAATTTCCATTTCTATTATTTATACTATTTTCTCTACTATTGTTTTTATTACTTTTCTAAATACCATGTGACATTTGAAAATTTTTCTCTGTGACAGGCATGTAAGAATATTTCTCTGCTTATGCAACTCTGGCCAGAAGGATCTGATATCCGGTGTGTTCTTTGTGTTGCTTCATGCTCACTGACTTTGAGTATGTACCATCGCTTTTTAGAAAACAGAAACAAGACTGCCTCAGGCCAGGTAACTAACCTGCAGAAGATGTGCTTAGGTCTCTCCACATTTTAAATTTTATTGGTTTTCTTCTATCATTTTCTTCATTTGGTGCTTAATCATTTAGTAATGTAAATGTTCAAAAGAAGGGGGAAATATAAAAAAAATTATTGATAAGAAAACATCTGTTATGCTATTGTATGATTTAGTATTTTACTGTAAAGGTGCGTTATCTTATGATTTACTTGTGAAGTGTCGTCAAGTTGGTTCTGACTCATAACAACCCTGTATAGGGTTTTTGAGGCTTGTAAATCTTTGCAGGAGCAGAAAGCCTCTTCTTCCTACCTCAGAGCAGTTGGTAGGCTCAAACAAATGACCACATGGTTCACAGTCCAGTGCTTATCTTATGGGGACCACTACACTCCCTATATTTTACTTACCATATATTAATTTTTCCAATCACTTAAAAAAAAAAAAAGAAAGAAATGCATAAAAAAGAAATTAAGCATACTGCATTCTTAAGTTCTGGGCTGTTTATTTGTATTGCACCATAAATCCTCACAAAAGAGTCTCAGTGGCAGTATTGTTTTTTCTGTTTTACAGACAAGAACATTGAGTCTTGGACAATCTGAAATAAACCTAGTTCTGTCTCACATTGGTCCCCAAATAGTTGTTTTTTTAAAGACCATTCCTGCTTTTTTGTCTTGGTGTCATTGCAGCTGGAAAATACAAAAGTTCATAGCCTTTTCTTTGACAAGGAGGAATCATTACAAATCTGTTGGATTCTCTCCCTATCTAACCATTCATCCTTACATACATGTGCTTATTTATGCATGTGCATGTAAATCCACACACATATATAATTACTATTTTGTATACAATCTGATAATTTTTTTTTTTTCTTAAAGTTTTTAGTGTGAATTGAGTGAAGGTTTATGGACAAGGTCATTAGTTTCACATTCAACAGTCCTACACTTTGCTTCATCTCAATGATTGCAATCCCCTACCAAAGTGGTTCTGTATCAGACTGCTAATCACAAAGTCGCAATCTGAAATTAGCAGCTGTTCCACGGGGGAAACATGAGGCTCTCTGCTCCTGTGAAGGCTTACAGCCTCATAAACCCTATGCAGGATCACTGTGAGTCAGAACTGACTCCATGGCACACTACCACCACTACCATCACCATATAACAATAGTTATCCTACTTCCTCCCTCATGTTCCTATTTCCATTCCACCCACCTTCCCATCCATTCTTAACTTCGTCCTTAGAAAAATTGTTGCCCTTTTGATTTTGAATGATTGACTCTTCCATCATTCATTTGAGCATACCATAGATACTAGTGTTGTCACTCCTATATAACTACTCCTTGGATGAATGTTGGGCCATAGGGTGAGTTCCTTTCTAGACCTCAGTATGGTCTAGGACCATAGTCTCAGGTTCTTCCAGTATCTTTCTGAGCAGTAGCACTTTAAAAAATAATAATAATTTTGGGTTTTGTTCCACATTTTCTTCCACTTTATATGGGACCCTCTAATGTGATCCTTTTCAGAGCCATTGATAGTGGTACACCAGCACTGTCTAGTTTCTTCTGGTTTTAGATTCATGGAGACTAATGTTCACATGTTCCATTAGTCCACTGGACTAATTTAATCTAAATCTCTGAAATGTTTATCATTTTTCTTTCTTCCACACATACAGAGGTTAAAAGTTGCACCTAAAATAGTTGCTCATGAGCTTTTACGATCCCTCGCTACCCAACAAAGTAGGATATCGAATATTGTCTTTGTAGACTATGTTATGCAATTGACCATGGGGTCCCCTGAGACTATGGTTCTGAGCTCCAAGGCCCAGCAACTCATTACCTTAAGAGGTTTGATAATATCTAAGAAGTTTTCATTATTTGCTCACTGTGTGCTCTACCACATTCATAGCTGTGTGTGTAGTAAGGTAGACACCTATGTACAAATATATATATATAGTTGTTATTATGCCTCATCTTTCTCCCGTGGAGCGACTGGTAGTTTCGAACTGCAGACCTTAAGGTTCGCAGCCCAAATTCGTAACCACTACGCTACCAGAGCTCTCTCTCGGTTTCCTTGTGCTAGGAGAATCTTAGCTGAATATTCATAATTAGAGAAATGAAGTTTTTTAGTTTTCCTCCACAGTCTCAGAATTGGTCAGGACTCATCATTTTTTGCCTAGCTTCTTTCATATTTGTTTTTCCAGGGTCTGCTTAAATCTTCATTTTTTTTTTTTAGTGAAACATTTCTACATGTTTGGGCATGCCATTTGAAATTGTTCTCACAAAAATGATATTAAATCAAATCTATCTCTGTAGCACTTCTAATCATTGGAGTATAATTGACATGCTAAAGATGACCTGTGTAAGTCTTAGTCTCAATTCACTGACAATGCTGCTTGAAACATCCAAAGGTAGTTATGGACTCTTAGTCACATGATGTGAAATATGCCCACTGATTTCCTCTTTTTCTCATTGAACATGATCTTCCGATATGTTGCCATCCTCACACTGACCATTTAAAACATACTTTAAAAGTAGGGTGTATCAGATAAAATACAGACTTTAATACGTGTCACATGACTTTATTAGCTGTTTGGTTAGTTTGCCTAAGTTTGGTATAATGAAAAAACTCCTGATGAATACTTTATATGAACTGTTGTTAAGTGGGAAGTTTCACCTGTCTTTTCCTCTACTTTTGTATAAATGCACATATTTATATAAAATAAATTTCTCCAAAGCATAAACTGAAAAATATAATAATACACAATTCCCAGTTTTATTGTGCTGCCTGCATTATGTTATCTCACAGCCTGTTCTCTGGCATGCCTTCTGTGTTTTATTCAGGTGGACAGTAATTGCTTAGTCCTGCAGGAGGTGGAAGATTTGTGTAGAATGCATTGCCTCAGTGTGGCTATTCTACTCCACTTACCTCTTTCTCAAAGAGCTTGTGCTAGATTCATTACTTCCCATTGGATTAAGGACACTCAAACTTTCTTTAAAATGGTAAATATACCCTTTCTTAGTTTTTTGTTTGTCGAGTTTTTTTTTGTTTTGTTTTGTTTTGCTTTGTTTATTTCAGTGGTTTGATAGATGAAAAGCATAGCCACCTTAAAAATAAGCTTATATTGGAATAATGTTTGCCTGTTGGAGGCTATAAGTTTTCATAGCCTAAATAAGTAACTTTCCAATTTTTAACAGCTATATTTGATAGCAGTAACAAAGAGCATGATATATATGTGACTTTTGGGGGGAAGTCTCCATCTTTTTCTTTCTTCAAATCTCTGACATGGTCAGGTTTTGTGTCATCAAGGATAATGTCTATTGCGTTCTGTTCTTGAGAGAAACTGAGGAAATATTAAATAAATAAAACTAATAAACTTATTAGTTTACTACTTTTGTCCATTATAGAGGACATTTAGATAAATTTGGAGTCTTTGGAAAAATAGAAACAAAAATTAAAGAAAACCTTAACCAGAGTTTCTACTACTCTAATCAATGCTGCTAACTGTTAATACTTTTGTTATTTAATTTATTTTAAATGCATAGATTTTATTGTTGCTATTATTCCATATATATATATATATAACAACAATATATCTATCTATCTAGATATATAACAAAAGGTTTTCTGAGGAGCTGCTGGTGAATTTGAACTGTTGATCTTGCTATTCAAACTGACCTTGAGGCCCAGTAGTTATCCTATATCACCACACCAGGACTCCGTATATAAATCTTCAAGTTTATAGAAAAAATCCATTATCTTTAACTTCATTTTCCTATTAAATTTTGAAGCCTCATCATGTATGTGTATATCTATTGATCTTTTTACGTATCTCACATATTTTTTATTTTTCTTTAACATTCTTGATAAACATTTTTATGACTATAATTATATTTTGGTGGATGTACCATGGCTCACTTACCCATCCCTCAATTATGGTATTATGGTTTGTTGAGAGAACTTTAATTTTATTATAAATGATACTGTTGTTCAGGGACTTTTTGATTTAGGCTCAGTTTCAGAAATTTTATTAGACATAGAGCATTTTTTAAGGGTCTTGATATATACCATCAGAATATTCAAGGAAAGTGCTTTATAACTATTCAATCAGAGATCCAGGCCACAAATACTTACTTACATGCATTATACTAAGCACAGTGATTAAAGTACAAATACATTTACCTTTATTGTCCCATCCTCTTCATGGAGCTATTTTGGAGGGAAAACAGATATTGAATTTTTAATTCAAGGAGTAACTAGGCTTTAGAATCTAATAATAAAAAACATCCAACCCAGTCTTGAAAAAAATGAAGAGAAGTGAAGGGACCCATGTCCTGAAGGATGAGTTGGAGTTAGCTAGGTGGAAAGAAGAAGCAAATTGGCTTTCCAACAATGAAACAGTGCAGTACACAGGAACATCCCGAAGATGGCATGAACAGAATTGAAATACATACAGTGAAACTGGAATGGTGAGAACATAGGGAGAACGATGAAGCTCAAGAGGCAGCTAGGAGACTAATCATATAAAGCACTAAAGAGCTGTTAAAGGAATGGAGATATAACTTGATCATAAACACAGTGTGAATCTATTGAAGGTTTTAAATGTGTGAGTGGCATTTCTTTTACTTTTCTTTGTAATACAAATTATCTGGTTGTAATATGGAGAGTACATTATAGAATGGAAGTACATTATAGTATAAAAGAGTGGACCTTGGGAAACCTGTAGATGACTATTGGTCCACATATTAGGTAGTAGTAGAGGATACTAAGGATGAGCTGAATAGGGATTAGGAATAGCGGGCAGTTTCAAGAATTACTTAAGATGTAGAATTGAAAAGTTTACTAACTGCATGGGGATATTAGTGAAAGAGATGAGTCAGGCCTTCGGTTTGAGCGTTTGTGTGGATGTTTCTATTGGAACAAGTGCCTTTGAGGAAGCAAGCAGATAATGAGTTCAGTTTTGGATACATTGAATTTGAGATGACAGTGAGATATTAAAATATATAGTGAGAGTTTGAAGAAACAACTTGTTAGTGGTTTGAAATATTGGTTTGGAGTTTAGGAGAGTGGAATAGGATTTCAGTAGTTAAAGATTAGAAATCATTCTCCTACAGATGAAAATTGATGCCATGGTAGTGAATGAAATACTTCAAAGAGAGAGATATGGTAAGAAGAGCCCTCACTCCAATTTTAAATGGTTAACTTGTATGTTGCCTATGTGAAAACTAAGTCAGCCAGGCATCCTTTTCTTGCTTAAATTAGGATGACACTTAATAAGTATTCCTTTCCAAAAATGGACCCATGAAGGAAATTGATCTGAGTATGACTAAGAAGTGATTGAATTAATTTGAATTGACATCTACATGGTATTGCTTAGATTAATTTTTTAAATTAGCTTATTTGAAATGCAAGGTAAGCAATAAAATTTAGTTGTAAGAACATATATTTCGTGCATATCTGAGTTTGTGTCTATCAACAATATAACTGTTTTAAAAGAAGTTTTAGTGATTTATGATCAATTAAATGATATTGCTATTAATTGCCATCGAGTCAGTTCCAATTCATATTGATCCTATAAATGGTTTTCAAGGAATGGCTGGTAAGTTTGAACCACCGACCTTGTGGTTCCAACCAACCTTGTGGTCCAGTGTATCCTATGGCTCTGTTGAGGCTTAGGTGAGAACAACGTTGTTAATCAATAACATTTATCCTTTTGTGATTGACTAATTTTACTCAGCATAATGATGTAGACAGCCTAAATATTCATCAACAGAACTGTTAAACAAATTTTGGTACATACACACAATGGAATACTACATAATGTGAAGAATAACAATGAATCTGTGAAATACCTCACAACATGGATAAACCTGGAGGACATTATGCAGTGTGAAATTAGTCAATCACAAAAGGGCAAATATTATTTAGACCAATGTTCTAAAAAGTTAAGAAAAAGTTTTCTTCATAAAGTAAATATTTTATTTTCTGGTTTGGGGATTACAGTATGTTGGGCTCCTGTGTCCAGTGCCCCCAAAATGGTCTCTTCCCACCCCTAGGCCATTTTACCCAGACATGTGCATATGACCCTGACCTCCTTGTCAATCCTGATCTTGATAAGCTAATATGAAACCTGTCAATAACATGAATTTATTTTCAATTTTCAGAAAAACTGGTGTGAATATTTCATCTTACATAATATAAACCTTTTTGAGAAGCTGAATTTAACTTATCTTTCTGACTTAAGTGATGAGGCTTTGCTGAAGAATATTGCTTTTTACTATGAAAATGAATATGTTCAAGGTACTGCAGTGATTTTGCCGGAAATGAACACTATAAAGTACTGAAAATTTCAAAAACAGTCTAATTCCCACATATATGGATCAGTAAACATCTTTTTTTTAATCTATCTTTTGTTTAGATATATGTGTAATTTTTGTTTTCTTTCCATTTGAAAGAGTGTGCTATTTTCAAACATTTTTCACTAGTATTATAAAATATTTTGGGAAAAAATATGTCTTAGGGTATTTGACATTCCATAGAAGCTGAAATGTTCATATAAATGTGTGTATTTCTTTATAATATTTCCTCTAATTAATGTAATCATTCCAGTATAATTAGATATTTAGGATTCTTTTTTCTTCCTAAATTAAAGTTGTTTTACATACTTGTTATATGCAATTTAAGAAACCCTGATGATATAGTTATTAAGTACTCTGCTGTTAACATAAAGCTTAGCAGATTGAACCCACTAGCAGCTTTGTAAGAGACAGATGTGGTAGTCAGCTTCTATAAAGCTTTGGAAATGTTATGGAGTAGTGTTACTATGTTCTGTAGGGTTTCAATGAGTTGAAACTGACTATACAGCAGTGGATTTATTTTGATTTTAATATAAACTAGGATTCCTAGGTGGTATAAATGGTTGAGCACTCAACTAGCAGCCAAAAGGCTGACAATCTGAACCCATTTAGAGATACTTTCAGAAGTTAGGCCTTGATAAATCTATGGTGCAGATCTATTCTTCACAGATGGAGTTACGATGAGTCAGAATCAACTCAACAGCAATTAAAAAAGCAATTGGTTAATATATTTAGATTTTAAAATTAGTTATTAATATGAAAATGATACATTTTAAAAGGTTAAACCTCATGGAAAGTACTGTTAATAAGTGCCATAAGTTCAGTTCTGACTCATAACTACACTGTATAAGTAGCCTGCGGAATGACTGATGGTTTTGAATTGTCAACTTTGTGGCTAGCAGTTGAGTGCTTTTTCTACAATGTCACAGCATTCTCTATGGGCAACACTAGTGATGGTTTTTATTTAGATGCAGTGTAGAACTTCCTGAAAATTTACTTCAGCTCTGTGAATTTGGTTAAGGTGTGTGTTTGTGTATATGTATGAAGTACTTTTAATAATATGTACTTTTAAATGTTATGTAGGCCAACCTTTGAATTTGGGAAGTGACATTAAAAGGGATTATGAACATCTCTGGCATAATGTGTCAAACCTGGTCAAAGAGTTTGAGGTTGGAAAGCCACTTCCTCTGAGAACAACAAGACTCCATTTTCTTGAAAAGAATTCTTCACCTATTAAAGGTAATAGATTCCTAAGTTAATCTTAAATAAAAGTATGTTCTGAAAACAGTTTAAAAGTGCTTCTAACTCAATGTGAAAAGCATAAATTATTTTATGACTATACCAAGGGGCACATTCTGCAAGCCTGCCTCCTGGCTGCCAGCACACAGCCTTTCTCTTACAATGAGTCTGGCATTCTCAGCTGCTCTATCTCCCATGTCTTCATCTCTACCTCCATTTCTGGTGTTGCTGCTTCTCTGGATAGGGTCCCACATTCCGCTCACACTCTTCTCCCTTGATGGTCCTAGGGTCCTCTGCTCCTGAAATGCAAGATTAACTACTTCCGCCTTTATGTTACAAAACGTCTACCTTTACAGCTGTGACAATTGTAATGTTATGATAAAAATTACTCACTTTAGAATCATAAGAATATAATCCTCATTTCCTTTCACCAGACCCATCTAGACAAGATGAAAACTATTCACTGGGGATTCTATCTTCCTCCACACACTCTGAAAGTAAACACCTTCTTGAAAACTCATAAGTCAGTCATTTTGTGCCTTTATTGACCCCTATTTTAGGTAGCCAATGTCTAAATTGCCTGTCCCTATCAAACCTGGTGCACAGAGGGGATAGGATTGATCCTAGATATGAAGATTCCTTCCCTCTCAGTTGGTATTTTGAGCTACTACACCCATAAGTATAGGTCAAGTTCCTTAAATTGTAGTAATTTATACTTGTTTCCTTTATCAAAATGTTTTTATGTTCCTCTAGTCAAGTTCTGATAATCAAACCATCAAAGGTAAGTCAAATGGGTACTATATGCATGTTTGGGCATTCTTGTGCATCTCACTGTATAGTATTTTATGACTATAATTTTGAAGATTTATGTTTTACTTGTAATTAGTGTTGTTGCCAATTTTAAATAAAAATCCAGATATATTTGGCTTCTATTAACAGTACTATGACAGCATAAATAAGGTGGAAAATTTATTTGTGCAAAACTTAGAGTGCTGTACGTTGTTGTTGTTAAGTGCTATCAAGTTGGTTCTGACTTATAGAAACCCTCTATAGGGTTTACAAGGAGCAAATGATGGGTTTGAACCACCAACCTTTTGGTTAGTAGTGCAGTGTTGATCCTACAATGCCACAGCAGGACTCCAGAATGGTGTATGGTGGTGATGGTGGTGTGCTGTGAAGTTGGTTCCTATTCATAGCATCCTTGCATAGGGTTTCCAAGGCTGTAAATCTCCACAGAAGCAGAAAGTCTCATCTATTTTCCAGTGAACGGCTGATAGTTTTGAACTGCTGACCTTGAAATTAGCATCTCTACTCATAACCACTACAGTACCAGAGCTCCTTAGAATGGTGTATAAGATTCAGCAAACATTGTTTTACTTAATTATTGCTAAGTTCAAAACAATGTAAGGAAATCTTAGGGGCAAAAATGGAAGAAGAATCTAGAAACCTAAGTGGAAATCTACATGGAAGCCTTGACTGTCCTGGGCAGCATTTGTTGATCTCAGTGATTCATAAGTTTATATCCTAACTGCCCAGGGCAGGAACAAAGGATAATACCAAAGAAGCAGATGGTGTTAGTAAATGAGCTGACTGCACAAAACTATGAATTTTAGGAGCACATTGAAAAGTCCAAATACTACAAAAATCAGGGTAAACTATGAATTGGAAGTTGAAAACAAACAGACAAATGCATGCATGTACACATTCAGTAGACAAATACACACTAAACAAATTAAGAAATACACAAAATAAAGAAATATCTTAAACAATTACTTGCTAAAAGTTAGTCAAATGATAAACTTCCCAGTAGCAATGATAGAAGTTAAAATATAATGGCATTATGCAATATCCTTAAATTGATTAAGAAGTTATGTGGATATTTTCAGAAAAACAAATGCTGTTAATCCATAATCTGAGAACCATTGAAGATATTTATAGATGATGGATTTCAGGAAGAAGGCTATGATTCCATAAAGAGTGTGAGAAAACACCTGGGAACTGAAATTGATATCATGTTAGTTTTCAGAACATGAGAGAAGAACGTATATCTTTTTTCCTTCTGTCAGGACAGGTTTCATCAGACAGAGATTTTGTGTGCCAATTATTAATTGATTTCAGGAAGGTCCAATAGAGCAGTGCTGTTGTTCACTGCCATAAAATTGGTTCTGAATCATACTGTCCCTGTCTGTATAGTGTTTCTGAGGAAAGCAGTTGGTCAGTTTGAACCACCGACCTTGTGGTTCAAGCTGACCTCGTGGTCTAGTACTTATCCTACAGCGCAACACTAAGAAGGAAAGAAAACTTAAAGCAGGACATGTTTATGGGTGAGCTACGACTGTGGGCAACTAGAAGTAATTTTACTGGAAATCCCGGGAATGGTGGAGAAACCACTTTGGAATTGTCTTGCCTGAAAAAGTAGGGAGCTGTGGTATTTCTTTTTTAACTTCTGTCATATTTGCTATGTCAGAACTGTTCCTCCATGTATTAAATCCTAGCACTTCTGGTCTGCATCACAAGGGCTTTGAGAAATAAAGTGTTCTGGAAGAGAGTTCATCAATGCAAACAAGAACAGCGAACACTAAGGGGATAATGACCAAACAAGATCAGTGACTACTATGTTGTTGTTAAGTGCTGTCAAGTCGGTTCCAACTCATAGCAACCCTGTATAGGGTTTCCAAGGAGTGGCTGGAGAGTTTGAACCACCAGCCCTGTGGTTCAAACGAACCTTGAGTTTGAGTGCTTAACCTGTGGTGCCATTCCACGACGTCAGTGACTAGTATGCTTACCTAGAATTAGGGAACAAATTCTGAATGAAAAGTAATGCATTAGTCCATTATCATGATAGGGTTGTAACTTATCTAAGTGAGTGTATGTATATATAACTCTTTAATCCATCCCTTGACAGCATTTTCTAACTTTGGAAATTCTGTTTATTTTAAAATGTGACTCACACTTAACAATAGATATGACAAAAAATGTTGTTAAATACCATCGAGTCAGTTTCAACCTATAGCTACCCTGTATAGGGTTTCCAAGGAGCGGCTGGTGAGTTTGAACCCCCAACCTTGTGATTCAAACTGACCATGCAGTCCAATGCTTTATCCCACAGCATCATACAGCATTAAAGAGATATTACATACATATTATCTAGGAGTCCTGGTGTGGTGCTGTAGGATAAGCACTGGATTACAAACTGAAAGGTTGGTGGTTCGAACCCATCAGCCCACCTTGGAAAATCTATATAGGTTTGCTATGAGTCAGAACAAACTGGATATTACTTAGCAAAATCCTATGGTAAAATGAAAGTGAGCCCAAGAGGCTATTGCAATGAAACTAAATAAATGCAATGAAACTAAATAAATTAAAAAAAAAAATTATTTTCTTCTAATTGTATGTCATTGTTAAGTCCTGTCGAGTCAGTTAGAACCCATAGTGACCCTGTATAGGGTTTCCAAGGAGCAGCTGGTGAGCTTGAACCACTGACCTTGCCATCCAAACCAACATTGTAGTCCAGCGCATTAATCCACAGCTCCACACCAGGACTCCATTCTAATTGTATACATATAGGCAATTTCTGAATGAAATACTATCTTCAAGATTTTTGCCTCACAATTCCCATGGCTATGGAGTTGAGTCTGACTTATTATGACCATATATAAGGTTTCTGAGACTAAATCTTTACAGAAGCAGGTAGCCTCATTTTTTTCTCATGGAGTAGGTGGTAGATTTGGACTACCAACCCTGTGCTTAGCAGCCCAGTGTTTAACGTACAGTGCCACCATGCCTCCTTTACTTCACTGATGGCTCTGTAGGATAAGCACAAAATTTTTAATCACAAGATTGGCAGCTCAAAACCCTCCAGCTATTCTGTGGAAGAAAGATGAGACTTTCTGCTCCTGCAAAGATTTACACCTCAAAAATACCATATAGAGTAGCTATGAGTCAGAACTCTAATGCGCTGAACAACAGGGAATAATGAAAGGAATAGATATTTGTAAACATAGAAGTTGTCATTTTTTTCTCTGTGTGTTTGTCTATATCTATTATCACCAATGTCATTTTGAACTGCAAATTTGGTAGTTCAAACTCACCAGCTGCTCCTCAAATACCCTATACAGGATTGTTATGAATCATAACACACTCAAAGGCACTTCATGACAACAGCAAAAACTAACTAGTTACCTGCTTAATTACCTACCTACTTGCCTACCTAAATGCCATTGATTCCTTTATATCCCTCAGTGATCCAAAATGTTTAATGTAAGAAATAATTTTATGGGAGAGCCTGAAAATGATCAAATAAAATCAAATGTAAAAAATTAATGTGAAGTTCTAGAAAATAATGCAAAACTTTCCTATAATATTTCCTAATGCAAGCATTTCACATTTGACCTTATCTTACATTTTAATTTGTCTACAGAAAGCACCAAGGAAAATATGTCTAATTTGGGATTTATTCCAATGTCATGTAAGCTCGTTGATGAGTTTGTTGGAGACACTTTGGAAGATTTGCCTTTTCTAAAGAGGTATAGTGCTTAAGTGGGCCTCAGTAAATGTTTATGAATTGCTCAGTAGAGATTATTTGAAATAAAATATACTGAACATAATATATTAGATGTAATATGGGTTTATAAACCATAATTAATTTCATATCAAATTTATCAGTGCCCTTTGAGTATTAGTAGGTAAAAAGCAAGATAGTTTTAATCTGAGATTCAAACCACTCTAGCTCTAGGTTTTTAATTTGATTTTGAACAGGTGTTGATGTTCATTGGGCAATTGAAGGAATGGAGTGGATCTTGGGTTTTTACACTTCAAGAAACTACTCTTTGGATTTTATTAGTCACATCATATTCCAGAAACAAGAAACCCCAAAGCCAAACCAAACCTGCTGCCACTGAATTGATTCCAAGTCATAGCGACCCTGTGTAGGGTTCCTAGAGTCCTGGTGTGGTGCTGGGGGATAATACACTTGACCACAAAATTAGTTTGAACCACAAGGTCGGTGGTTTAAATTCAGCAGCCACTCTTTAGTAATTCTATACAGAGACACTATGAGTCTAAACATACTGGAACGTACTTAGCAACAAGTAACAGCAATAGGTTTTATGAGACTATAAATCTTTGCAGGAGCAGAAAGCTTCATCTTTTTCTTTCAGAGTGGCTGGTGGATTTGAGTTACTGACCTTGAGGTTAGCAGCCCAGTGTTTACCCATCAGCATTCCCGGCGCTCCTTATAAACAGGAAAAGGGCTATACTTTTATAAAATACTCATTAAAAATATAATCTATCCTATGATATATTTGGAGACATGTAATTAAAAGTGCATATATATATATATTTTTTTTTTTTATTTCATAGTGATGATCCTTCAGTTAAACAAAAGGAATTTGGTGAACTTGAGCACTTGCATTCCCACAAACTGCTGAGTGATGTCTATGACAGTGCAAAGTGGTACTATGATGGTGAGCTCTGTTATTTGGATTTCAGTTAACAAATTAACTTCTAATTCCCTTTTAACATATCCAGTCATTTTTAGATAAGCTTTCAGTAATAATTCCTTTCACACATTAATGTCTGTTTTACAATTATTATAGGCAGGGAAGACCAATAGCCACAAGACAGTAAAGTACATAAACATTTTTTCCACCCCTCTACCCATTCAGCCTATGTCTCTATCCACATATCTACTCACAGAACACAGTTGTTTCAAGGTTGTATAAATCACTATTTATCTCTATCCAATTTAGGCTGTGTATACCTCCCTAAGACTTCCTGCATCTTCCTTGTTTATCTGCTACTCTCCCTCTCTTTTTGTATTGTCCTCCCCCACCTTGCATATTGCTCTCCCTGTCGTCCTAGCTACCATGTGTCTACCCTCTAGCCAGTGAATTACTCTCCCCTTTTGTTTTGCCCTGGTAACTACCAAAGAATGTTTCTTTTAGTATACAGACCATTTTATAAGTTTTGCAATAATGATCTCATACAATAGTTGTCCTTTTGTGATTGCATAATTTCACTCAACATAATGTCCTCCAAGTACATCTATGTTATGAAGTGTTTTTCAGATTCATCTTTATTCTTCAAGGTTGCATAGTATTCCATTGTGTGTATACATCAAAGTTTGTTTATCTATTTTTTCCATTGACAGGCATTTAGGTTATTTCCATCATTTTGCTGTTGTCAACTGTACTGCAACAAACATTGGTATGCATGTATTTACTCGTGTTCTCACTCATATTTCTTGTGGATACATACCTAGTAAAGAGATTGAATAGGTCATAGTTATTTCTATTTCCAACTTTCGGAGGAAGTGCCATACTGTTTTCCAGAGTCATTGAAATATTTTACAATCCCATAGCAATGTAGGAGGGTCTCAGTTTCTCCACACATATGACAGCATTTGTTTTTTTCCATTTTTTTTTTTTAATTTCCTTGTTAATGTTGGCATAAGATGATATGTCATTGTTGTTTTGATTTGCATCTCTTGCTCTGGTAGC